TACATACATACATACATACATACATACATACATACATACATACATACATACACATATACATACATATATACATATATGCATACACATATATATATATATATACGTACATATATGCATACATACATATATACATGCATACATATATACATATATATATTTATATATATATGTAATATGTATATACATATATATATATTTATATATATATATATATATGTATATATATATACATACATATATACATACATATAAACATACATATATACAAACGTACACACGTACACACACATACACACACATGTATATGCATTTTTTTAATGATCAGACTAAGGTAGAATCAAGGCTACCATGCCCCTATTCATCAGTTTTGTAAAACTCAACCGCCTGTAACGCTTGAGCTGTGTTCAGGAGGAGTTGAAAAAAATGGCTTCATCGTTTCGCTTTTACTAGCAGCACTTTATACCTAAATTAACAGGCATCTTGGGCAAGCAAAATCAAAAGAGTAAGTTTCTCAAATAACCACAGAAAGCTTAGCATAAGAAGTCGACAAGATGGCCTAGCTATCGTATGGTCCATTCTCGAGAAAATCAATGGACTTTCTGAAAAAAGCTGGCAGATTCATAACAGCAACTTTAAAGATTACCTTAATAAAATCAGCACTAAATATTTTGGGCTGCTTCCAGAGTAGTTGTGTTGGAGGAAAATTCCAATGTATCATACCAACAACGTTGAAAATACTAGATAGCACTATTGTTACGAGCGATAGAGCAAAACCCATTCGAGGCGATTTATGCAGTGACAACAAAAATATTGGTGATAAAAGATAATAAATGAACTCCGTACCAATATACCTGCAACATTTTGTACATTGTCTTTGACTATCTAACAGCTAATTTTTGCGCTCTTGAGTCACCAATGCAGTGTAAAAACTACATATTTTCCTGCTTGTTCTTTTGTTTGACCACATATTTCAGATGCCGAAGTGTAAAAACTAAAAAACTGGAGTTTCGTGGGAAAACTATCAGGGAAGGATTTCAGCCCAAAACTAGTTTTGAGGTCACTTTATGTACCAGCCTTTGACCCCAGCTCAAATTCTCATGAATAGCGCAACTCTAAAACCAAAGAATTTTGAACTTTGAAAACAAACCTTCCTCAATAACAGCTACAGACATGAAATCAACTTGTCGTCATTTTCTGTCATGGCCCTTTAATTCGGGTTTAGCCTTCAGAAAGTTTTAAAACCCAAGACAAAAAAGACATAAGCTTGATGATGCTTTCAGAGAAACAACCTGGATGTGTAGGAAAATAACTAGTCAACATCTCTTTCGGCAACTTAGGTAAAAATTTGGACAGTTTCACGATTCGGAAACAGGCAGAGCCAATAGACTTGAAAAACTTCACAAGTTTTTAATTTGTAATATATTACGTTTTACACCGTTAATAATTATATCCTGTACTCTTGCTCATAAATTCGAGAATTCGGCGACCACAACAGCATGGCGAATTATACCGAAGAAACATTCACTTTTATTCGTTGTTACTCTTCTCGGTCAAAGACCAAACAGGTGATAGCCCGAACAAAATTTTTTTACCACTCCAGCAACCTGTCGGTTGATTTCTTTTTATATGCCGTTTGTTGTAAGGAGTCATCGCTTTGTTCCGACAGCTTAAGGTAATTCACGCCAATCGCTAAATCCTATATCATTGACTCAATTTCAAAAAGCAACTGACCATGTCCAAGGCATGCAACGATTCTCGAGTAGACTGTTCACGAAGAGAACATTCTCCCACCAATGCTTGGGACATTGCACAGCAGGATCGGTGGGTGGCCACATGGGATGGAAATGCTGGATTGAGGCCCGCATGCCAACATCCACCAGTACGTAGATGTAAGCTGGCCATAAACGAATGACACGATGACGATAGTACCGGAGCCAGTATCCATACGATGTCCACGTCGGGGCTGCTTCTAAAATTACATCCATTTTATACTCTTTTGAGTTAATAAACGACAGAAAAACAAAGGTTGATTAGTAGTTGGTGGATTGAATAAATGTGTTAAATCGCGCTGTTTTCAAGTTATTTAAAAAAAATTTTGTTTTTCGAGCAGCTTTTATTTGCTTTCTTAGTCGGAAGGATATTATAATGCAGCGTTTGAGAAGGATAGCAATACTAAATTGAGATCAGGAACATCTTGAAACGGCCGGGGTTTTACAAAGTCCTGTTTTGTCGGAAAGACGCTGAGATAATGGTCCAGGAAAAAAAAATGCTAAGATGGTCAACAGGCTGGACATTATGTAATGTAAAACTGGGTAAAGTATGGAAAAGCTGAGGGCTGCATAGCTGGAAAACTGATCTGACAGAAATATCGGTTGAAAACTAAACTA